CACATGCATACAACAGAGGGAAGGAGAATATACTCACATGTGTACCACACTTGAATTTCCTACAAGTAAGAAAGGGTAGGGAATAGAATTACAATATAAGGATTCAACTGGATGAACTGTAAATGTTGTAAATACATGAATTGCAAAGGCTTCGCGAGCTGCTGCTTGTCGTGGTCGAGTACGACACTAAAATCTTACCTCCTAACAAAAATTGCTTATAACGATACAACATGTGCCATACTATCAATTCATAATCCAAGAGATGAAGCTAGCTGATTAGCTCAACTAATGCACTGGCGTTTTTCTAATTTCTGACAAAGATGTTACTAACAAAGATACTTAATTGTCCTTTAAAAAAAATGCATGCTGAAGTTTTGGATTGGCTTGCTAATAAAGAATGTGGGTGCCTTGTGAGGAGTAGGAGCACGTCCGCCTGTCCACGGCTGTCCAAGGAGAGAGGGAGATGGGGATAGTACCAAATTCGAAGCAACATGTAGCCAACCTGCAAGAAATCCATCGACGGCGGCTCAGATCCCGGCCAACCCCAGCAAGCCCTCAACAGGAGCGCGACACGGGCCCCGCCGCTTGGTCCCCAGTCCCCACGGCCGTGCAGGACTCCCGCATCGGCGGCAGCCCCGAGGGGCCTCCAAGCCGATGTGCGACCCGACACGGGGGAGGGGCTGGCCCCGAGGAGCGGTAACCCGGCGACTCCGTCAGTCAGGAGCTGGGCGGCGCCTTCCGTCATCGCCGCCGTTTGGGGAGGGATGCGGTCCCGGTCGATGCGATCATTGGCCACGGCGAGCGGGACAGACTCGACGGCGGGATTCAGACGGCGGAGCATGGATACAGGAGATGGTGGCGCATCGATGGGAGATGGGTGCGGGCGCGGCTGCGGTGGGCGGAGCGTCGGCGGCGGGCGGCGCGCGGTGAGGTTGGGCGGGGCGGGGCAGGAGGTGGCGGCGGGACGGAGGTCGAGATGGGATCGAGGAGGAAGGTCGTGCGAGCTGGGCTTTTTTTTCTCTTTTCTCCTCCCTGTACCGGTTATACTGAGCAGAGGTGGTAGGATGACGAAAAAAACGGTGATGAGATTTCTGAGTTTATAACCTTTCCATACGTGGATTAATTGTGATTGATTACCATAAAGGCTGGATTGATGAGATTTCTGAGTTTATAGCCTTTCCATACGTGGATTAATTGTGATTGATTACCATAAAGGCTATCAATCCAGATGGGAGGTGGGACAAATAAACCAGACAAAAAATAACCGGTTGAAAATAAACCGGTTGAAAATGGTGGGACTATTCAACCAGGTGGGAGGTGGGACAAATAAACCAGACGAAAAATAACCGGTTGAAAATAAACCGGTTGAAAATGGTGGGACTATTCAACCAATTCGTCCATTAGGAGTAGAGATTAAGATTTAGAATTGATTGTCATAAAACTAAATTTTATTGATTGGTAACGTGCTATCAATTCCTTCCCGTTTATAATGTGTCTAGTTAGGAAACTTTGAAAAGGTTAGGAAAGTTTTTATTGTGAAGGTAAAAAAACAACTTGATGAGATATGGTGGTGGGATGTGATACGAAAATAAACCAGACGAAAATAAATCAGACGAAAATAAACCAGACGAAAGTAAACCGTGGACGCAATCCTACCAACTCAGACATTAGGAGTAGAGATAAGGATTGCTGAAACGAAATTGACACCGGATTAGAAGTCCGGCCAGAGAAGGGAAACCCTAGACGCGGTCGTGAGGGGAGTGCAAAAACTATTTCGGCCACTCAAATTCGTTTAGCAATAAATGACGTCAAACCAGACCGAGTCCAGGCCGAACCTTGGAATCTGGGGAATTGTCAGCTGAGAACTTGCATTTTCGCCCGTCTTCTTGGGGACTTCAGTCCAGGCCGAACTTCCTGTGGAGGCACCCCAAAAAAAGGAAAAGTTGCGAACCGCGAAAAAATATCCCGCAGGCACACCGAGTCGCGTCGCGCTCGCGCCATTCGACAGCCAGTTCCGTCCGTCCGTGCAACCCCCTCGTCGCGTGCTTATTCCTCCCCTGGTCCGGTCCGCCGTTCGCCACCGTCCCTCCTCGTCTCGCTCGCCGGCCCGCCGCCCTCCCGCGACCACTGAGATCTCGCCGCCCGGCGGAGCCCTAGCCCGCGCGCCCGGCGATGTCGCACGCGCAGCCCCAGGGCGACACCATCCCGCTCCACCCGTCGTCGGCGCAGTCCGACATGGACGAGATCGAGAGCCTCATCCACGCCGCCCCCACCGCCGCCGCCGTCCTGCCCGCGCGGCCGCCCTCCCCTCCGCGCGCGTCCATCCCCGTCGCCAACATCCCTCCCGTGCCCCCTCCGGCCGGCTTCAGGCCCCAGCCGCCGCCCACCTTCTCCTCCGCGCCGCTCCCCTCCGCCTCCGTCGCCATCCCCATCCCCATCCCCATCGGCGCGGACGGGTTCGGGAGCCCCGCCAACACGCTCACGGAGCCCGTCTGGGACACCGTCAAGCGCGACCTCACCCGCATCGTCAGCAACCTCAAGCTCGTCGTCTTCCCCAACCCCTTCCGCGAGGACCCCGGCAAGGCGCTCCGCGACTGGGATCTCTGGGGGCCCTTCTTCTTCATCGTCTTCCTCGGCCTCACCCTCTCATGGTCGGCCTCAGTCAGGAAGGTACGTAGCTACTGCATTTTTTATATCATTTGAAATCCAAGTCCATCAATATTCAGTTAGCTGGGTGCAACGCCTGCATTTGAAATACATTAGTTAGAATGAACTAGTACAAACCTTCAATTATTTAATTCATGAGGCCCCACATTGATCAGGTGAAAATATTTTTAGTACTTGTCAATTGCATGGGTGATGGACTGATGGTTAACAACGTTAATAGTAATAGTTATACCAGTTCATCCGGTACTATTTATCTGAAATGCAAAAGCGTTGCAGACACTGTAGATGACCTGATAACTGCTGCTGCACGTATTGTAGATTTAGCAGGGGATGTAAATCCTTGATTACAAACCAAACAGTGTTAAGGCTGGATTGTTGTTATACATCTCCAGCACATTCTTATTTGTTGCGTGTGTTTTGCGAACTTGCTTTACAAACTAGGATTAGAAGAAGTGCACTTTTGTAAAGAATAAAAGAGCATAAAGAGCATAGGGAGATTTCTCCATTACCATGCTATTTGCACCTGCCATGCTCTCGATCTTCTTAGGAGTAAAGTGAAAGTTGGGGAGAGTGCTGTTAAATCTGGAAGGCAGTGTATTCTTAGAAGGGGGACTATGCTTTTCCTTGTGAAAAAGGGTACTAGAGACATGCTTATAAATATTTTAGTTTGCCCGCGAACCTTCTAGGTGGCCTTGGCCATTCCACTAATTTATCTATGGCATCTCCAGTTCAGTAGCTTACTTTTGCTTTTATAATGCTTCAAGAGGTCCAGTAAAAATCTAGTGTTTGATGAAAATTATTCCAAGGAGGGAGAGCTGTCATGGAAATAAAAAGTGCTGCAGCAGTGCAGTAACTTGGGCATTTGATGTTCTTCTGAAGTTTTCATCGGCAGCAAACAGAATTCACACCTAGAACCAATTAATTTCATTTCGATAGAAAATTTTAGATGCTCGTTAGTCCATATGCAAGCATCCTTGGAGATCCTCTAATCTGTATGAACGCTTCATCCTATGATTGCAGTTCACTTTTTAATTATCATTTGATGTATCACATACTGACTTGGATGACACGCCTTTTGTGTTTGTAGTCTGAAGTATTTGCTGTCGCGTTTGCTGTACTTGCTGCCGGTGCTATAATCCTCACGCTGAATGTGCTGCTTCTGGTACTTAAACCCCTCGTCTCTCTCCCACACGTGCTTGCACATGTATACGCAATGACCACATTGTTTCGTTTGCAGGGCGGCCAAATCATCTTCTTCCAAAGCCTGAGTCTTCTTGGATACTGCTTGTTCCCCATGGACGTGGGAGCTCTGATTTGCCTGCTCAAGGACAAGGACATGCTAAAGATCGTCGTGGTGGCGGTGACACTAGCATGGAGCTCCTGGGCCGCCTATCCATTCATGAGCACCGCCGTGAACCCAAGGAGGAAGGCCCTGGCGCTGTACCCCGTCTTCCTCATGTATGTCTCCATTAGCTTCCTCATAATCGCGATAAACTAGGGGTATGAAGGTTGCTGCCGCGGACCGTCAAGTCCGGAGATTTTCCCGTCGAACCATCCGAGTGAGTACAGGTTTTGTCTGACTGGTTTCTTTTGTAAATAATAAATTTTGCTGACTACTTTGAGATTTCTTCTTCTTCCTCTTCTTTACATAATCAAAGGGCGTATAGTAGGGGTATAGAAAATCAATCCAGCAGGAAATCGTACGTTCTGTAAAGGCACCACTTTGGTTTGCACCTGGCTAGAATAATTTGTAGGGTTGCTGCCTCACCATGGTGTTAGCATGTTTCATCTATCTGTGTGCCGGTTTCTACTAGCTTGCCTGGTTATTATTGCCTGACCAGGAGTGCTTCTTGGAAGTTCTCATTGATGCAAGTATCCGTTAACTGCGTACTGTTGGGATGAAAAATGGTGAAAGAGACTCACCACAGCCAAAGTGCAGCCGGAGATTGACTGCTTGGTCACATGAGTTTCTCCATTTGCTGTATTTCTAGCCCCGTCGTGTGTACTCTGCACCATGACCAGACCAATATTGACTCGCGAGTCGTCACTGAATTCCGACTGACGACATGAAATGGTTTCAAAACCCGTTGTCCTCCCGTCCTAACCTAAAATCATTCTTCTTCTCCTGTTCTCCTTCACATTCTCAAAGCATACAAACATCCATTTCTTTTTCTTTTTTTTTTGAGGGAATACAAACATCCATTTCAAGTCGTCGTCAGAGCAATAGAAACTAGTAGCAGCAGATGAATTGTTGCGCTTGACGCGGTCCCCAAGATCCGTGGCTTTCTGTTAGCTTTTCCGGTACGCCGACCCGTCAACGTCGGCGCATACGTACGTCGGTACGTGCCAGGAACAAGTAACCGGACGGGGTCAAGTTTCAAAGCCGTTTCGCATTGCAATCTAAACTTGGCCAGAACAAACAACCGAAAACCAAATGAAAGCGGGCACGAGTCTCCTCCCTTCCTGCCACCTTCCGGGTCATTCCTTTCCTTGGCGCCCCCTCCTCCGCGCGTCCTCTCGCCGATCCCACGCGGTCCGGTCGCCGGTCGTCGCCCGCCTATACTTGAGGATATATATTTATCCCGCGCGCGCCATTCGCGGCCGCCCCGGCGATCTGCCACCGCTCGTGTTCGGTATTTCTTTGGGGCGGAGGAGGGCTGTCATGGGGGAGCCGGTGGAGGCAGAGGCGCCGGCCGCGTCGTCGACCACGGTGGAGATGGAGGCCGCGGAGCAGCTCATCCAGCTCAGCGGCGGCGGCTGCGACGACGACGGCGCCGAGTCGGAGAGCAAGAGCGCGGACAGCGTCAGGGCAGCCGGCGAGAAGGGGCCGGCCGTGGTGAGCAAGAGCGCGGACAGCGTCAAGGCAGCTGGCGAGAAGGCGCGGGCCGTGGAGAGCAAGAGCGCGGAGAGCGTCATGGCAGCCGGCGAGAAGCGGGGAGATGGTAAAGAGGGGGTGCCCGCCGTGGAGAGCAGCACCGGGAAGAGACGCGAGAAACTCGGTGGGCCCAAGGGTGGCGGACAAGACGAGGAGGCCGTCATCGGCGGGGTCGCGAGGAGGAGGCCGAGGTTCCGGTCGCTGGCGGCGATATACAGGAACACGAGGAGGATGGACGACCACGGGCACTGGCGCGAGGAGCCGGAAGAGGAAGAGATGGGTGAGGGGAAGGGGGAGAAAAAGAAGACAAGGGCGATGGGTGGAGCGGCCGCCGACGACGGCGAGGCGATCCCCGCGACGGCGCCGTGCAAGGCCAAGGCCAAGAGAGCGGTACGCCCAAGAACTAGCTAGTGTATGTGATGCGGGTCTTCGTCGTAGCTAGGTGTTAAGGATCGAGATCTCTGGTGCATGGAGGCAGGCATGTGTGGATGTAGGAGTAGATGGCAATGGCGCATGCTTGGGTGGAAGAGATTGTGATGTGAGATGTATGTACGTAGCCATCGATCTGGTTTGTTTCCCCTAGCTCATGGAAGAAGAAACCATCAAGCTTCACATTGCGTCTGGGAATTTTGTTGCTGTGTATATACTCACTTGATGTTTGTCATGGCAATCGATCGTTCATTTCCGATGCACATATTGGCATGTCGGACGACTGCGGTCGTTATTGTGTGGATCCTGAATCGGTCGTTCCGGTTACGGTCACAAGACACCAATATGCACCCGCAAAGTAACGGCAGCTGACTGACGAGGAGAAGACAGCACCATGATGGGGCCAAAGCGACCGTCAGTAGCAAACACATGCTTGCTAAACGAAAGAGGTACGACATAAGTCATTGCTCACAGCCCATTAGTTATTTTTTTCCGAAATGCGGTAAGACCCTCGGGCTCCCTCCGCATCAATCTTATTATATTTTTAAATAGTTAACGATGTCAAGCAAAGGCTAGCACCAATGTCGAACGAACGGCTTACAGGAAATTTAAAATAAAAACCCTAGACCACCCAACATTGATTTGCCTTGCGATAGAGCCTCCACAAATCTATCACAGCTCTATGACTGTGGCCGAATTAAACGAAAAATACGCTACTCTTAGGCAAAGCCTTCAAAAAGGGGGTCACCATTAGAGCGACGATGTTGACGAGACCGACTGTCGTGGATTTGTCACGGCAGATGTCCTTAGTGTCAGGACTTAGTCGTGAGGCCAACGCATCTATGTGGTAGTTTGAGAGGGGTTGAGTGGGACGAGAGACGCAGGGCGGATTAACACACAAGACAAGGATTTAGACAGCTTCGGGCCTCGGGAAACATCATCCGGAATAGCCCTACATGTTATTTGTGGCTAGGTCTCATTATCATCACGAGGAAGACGCCGTAAACCGGCTCTTTGTGTCTAGCCCTAGAGATTGTTTCTTACTTGTCGTCTCTCCCTCTTTGGGGAGCCCTGCCCCTTCTTATATATGTTGAAGGGGCGGTTTACATCACTAGTCCTAGTTGGATTAGGATTACTCTATTACAAGTGGAGTCCTAGTCTTGCTTCCTTTGTAAGGGAATATTTCTTGTGCTTTCCTCATAAACCGGCCCACCATTAACCGTGAACCGGCCTTCTGGGCCATGGGCCTCGTCATTCATCTGACCCGCCCGCCAAGTTACTAATGAACCGCCAAGACCGGGCGGGTAGCCCGTGAACCGCCAAGCTCCGGGTGGGTTACCAGTGAGTCGTCCAGTCCGGCCGGGTTATACTTCCGGCCGGTTTACGCCACGGGGTATATCCCCGACACCGACCGAAGATCGAACATATGATTTTCATTCCCGAAGCCATACCTCGAGCCAACATCTTCAACAAGGGCATGAAGCTCGTACGTCGGAATTGCCAGATCTAGCCCACCAAGAGTATCGCAAACTTCTCATCAAATTCATCATTGCCAATAACCTCGCTACCGGCTGACGACACATCACTAACCGGATCCTGATTGTTGGAGAAGACGCGAGATGCAGGTTGAGCACCGTCGTCCTACATGTCACCCTGCTTCCGGTCACTAGCGCACCTCCTTTGATCTCATCGATGTGAGAGACGGAAATATGAATGCAAGATAGCCCAGATTTCGCCGTCATTGCGACCACCTCATAGACCGCCACCATTGCGGTCACCTCGCGGATCCTTCCAGCGCGTCCCCAGGGCCACCACCCTGATCGAGGTCCTCCATGAAGTTTATGAAGCTTTGAACTCTAAGGAGAAGATGAATGGTGCCTCATGATGGTTCGAGTTCATCCCAAGCCGAGGGATTATCTGTTTGTGGCAGGACAAAGGAGAAGAACTCTAATAATGGAAAAAGAGGCAAAAGTAAGAACGGCCACAGGGGCTGGTCGCAATCCAGAGACAAGAAATATTGCAGATATTGCAAGAGAGACGGGCATGACATCTCTGAGTGTTTCAAGTTGCAGAACAAGGAAAAGAGGAAAGGTAACAAACAAGGTGAAAATTCTGCTAACGTTGCTCGTGATGATAGTTCCGATGATGCTCTTGTCGTTATTGCTGGATGTGCCGAGACCAATGATGAGTGGGTACTTGACACTGCATGCACTTTTCATATGTGTCCACATAGAGATTGGTTTAATACTTTTGATTCCACTACTTCTGCTGGTTCCGTTTTGGGTTTTGATAATTCACCATGCAAGACTGAAGGCATAGGTTCTATTCGAATCAAGATGTTTGATGGCATAATTAGAACTTTGACAGATGTTCGGTATATTCCGAAGATGAAGAGAAATCTTATTTCTGTGAGTGCCCTTGATGCAAAGGGGTACAAGTATTCAGGTGGAGATAGTGTTTTGGAAGTCACCAAAGATTCCCTTATTGTGATGAAAGGTGACTTAAATTCGACTAATGGTCTTTATTACCTTCGAGGTTCTACCGTTTCAGATAAAGCTACTCCAGTTATTTCAAAGAATTCTGATTGTGATGCTGGTAACCTTTGGCATATGCGTCTTGGACATATGAGTGAACTTGGTTTAGCAGAGTTAAATAAGAGAGGTCTTCTTGATGGATATGAACCTGGTAAATTGAAATTTTGTGAGCATTGTATCTTCGGCAAGCACAAGAGGGTGAAGTTCAATACTTCGACCCATACAACTGAAGGTATTCTTGATTATGTGCATTCTGATTTATGGGGACCATCTCGCAGAAAGTCACTAGGTGGTGCTAGTTACATGCTGACTATTATTGATGATTATTCGAGAAAAGTTTGGCCTTATTTCTTGAAGCATAAATATGAAGCATTCTCAGCTTTTAAGGAGTGGAAGATTATGATTGAGAGACAAACTGAAAAGAAGGTAAAAATACTTTGCACTGATAATGGTATGGAATTTTGTTCTAAGCAATTTAATAATTATTGCAAGTCTGAAGGCATTGTCAGACATTACACCGTTCCTTATACTCCTCAACAAAACGGTGTTGCTGAGCGTATGAACAAGACCATTATTTCCAGAGCCCGTTGCATGTTGTCCAATGCAGGTTTGCATAGGCATTTTTGGGATGAGGCTGCTTCCACTGCTTGTTATCTCATTAACCATTCACCATCTATTTCTCTTAATAATAAAACTCTAATTGAGGTATGGTCTGGTTCACCTACTGATTATTCATAGTTGAAAGTTTTTGGTTGCACTACT